TCTTTACAATATTGTTTTAGTTGTGGTTGTTTAGTCATTTTTCATTTGCATGCTATTCTTCATGATCGCATTTGGGGTTTTCTTGGCAAAGATGCTGGAGTGGTTGGCCATTTCCTTCTCCAGCTCATTTTACAGATGAGGAAACTGAGGCAAACAGGATTAAGTGACTTGCCCAGGATGACACAGCTAGTAAATGTCTGAGGTCAAATTTGAACTCAGGAAAAGGAGTGTTCCTGACTCCAGGCTAGACACTCTATCCACTATGCCACATAGCTGCCCCATAATATTATAATATATACTGTATTAATAATTATAATCTTTATGATATAAATATATTGCACTCATATATACATAGATGTATCTTATGTATATACCTATATATTAGGTGAAAAAATAGAGAATTTATGTATATGGATAAAAGTAAAATATCTATAAGATATACATTCTACAGCATATATCAATATTATTAATGGTCATAATGTGGTATTTTATAATTAGAACTATAAATATAATTGATATAGGTCATAGAATATATTCTACTTACATTTTTTGCTTATATATACACACATCTCTCTATATTTAACATGCAAGTATATATGTAAGATATGTATGTTTTATACATATGAATATGCATTTTAATGTACATATGCATATACGCATGCACACACACTTGTATATATATATATATATATGATATTGCATCTTACATGTGTGTCTGTGTACAGATATGTATGACCCAGCACATATACAAATACAGTAGCGTATATACAAGTTCAGTAACGTATTTACATATATAGCAACACATGCAAATACAGCGAACATATATACAAATACAGTAACATACATACAAATATATAAATGTGTACACACATATATGTGAGTACATGTGTGTTGATACACATGTATTGGGTGTCTCAAAAGTTTTATTGAACTTTTAAGATTTTATGCACACACACAGACACATATACATACATACACACATACACACACAGAGCCTGGCCTGTGATTTCACTGTTCTGGAAAGTTCCCCTGAGTCGTTTCCTCTTCCAGTACCCATCTGTACCTCATCTGTGGTTGGCTGATGATCTTAGAGTTGTCTGGGCCCCTGAGAAGATGTGACATGGCCAGGATCACGCAACCAGTGTGTGTCAGAGGTGAGACTTGAGCCAAGGTCATCGTGGCCCAGAGGTCAGCTCTCTTATCCCCTCAGCCACACTGAGACAATTATTGGCACTATAACAGTAACAACCAACATTTTAAGCATTTTAAGGTTTGCAAGACACTTAAGGCATTATTGCATTTTACCCTCCCAGCAACCCCAAGGTAAGTGCTATTATTATCCCCACTTTACAGATAAAGAAACGAGGCTCCCAGAGATTGTGACTTACCAGAGTCCCACAGCTAATAAGAATCAGAGGTGGGGATCAGGGGCATTTGAACACAGACCTTCCTAAAGCCAAGTCTAGCTTGGCTCTCTATCTACTTGGCCACACTGCCTCTCTGCATATCCCTCCCCTCCCCTGATATTCTGAGTCTGAACTGGGAAAAAGCTGTGAAGATGGGAGAGACAATTATCAGAGCATCTCTGATTCTCCTGGAGCTGCCCAGAATGACCTTCATTAACCTTGGAGTTTCTCATCCCATTTACTCAAGAAAAGTGACTCACCTTCAGTTCCGCAGGACCAGGAGCAAGGTTAATTGGAAGCAAGTTGTCTTCCCCGTTCTCTTTTCCTGCAGCAATCCCTCACATCCCCGAAGAGGGCCAATGACAGTAGAGTAGGAGTTCCTGCAAAGCTCAGGGTGTTTCTGTCTTTTGCTTAGAGAGGCCTCTGCTGGCAATGAAGTTGTTGTGTTAGAACCAAGAAAAAGGAGAGGTTTGTGCTGGGAAGCTTGGGGAGGACAGCGGTGGAAAACTGTTGTAAAGATTCTAAGTGTGTGTGTGTGTGTGTGTGTGTGAGAGAGAGAGAGAGAGAGAGAGAGAGAGAGAGAGAGAGAGAGAGAGAGAGAGAGAGAAGAGAGAGAGGAAGGAGAGACAAAAGAGAGTGAGATAGGGAGAAGAAGGGGAGGAGGGATGAAAGGGGAAGAAAGATAGAAGGGAGGGAGAGAAAGAAGGAATCAGTGAAAGGGATGGAGAGGTGAGAAGGAATGGACATATTGGGAGAAAGAAACCTGGATAAATGCCATAGAAATATTCATTTAAGTTGATATTAATCACCTTCTTGGTGATTTTTGTTTTGTTTTTGCTAGTTTAAATGAGGATAACATTGCTACTGTGACAGAGGTCATATGCACAGTGAAAAGAGCCAGTAAGAAAAAAAAATGATCTTGAAACTTGAAGAAAATATGAAACAGGCATAGAAGGTAGAAAGCAACTGCTCAGACTAAGTATATTATTAATAATAAGTTAGAACACTTTTTAAAGAAGTCTTTTTTTTCTGGAAGTATGTAATAGTAGTGAAATTATTTCAATTTTTGTGTCCATCAGGAGTTGGAGTTTTACAAAAAAAATTAGTGGGATACAGCCAGTGTAAAGAATAATAAAGAGATAGACAAACCTTAAATTGCCATGTTAATGACAGCCCTAGTGTTCCCCATGCTGTCTGCGTCCCAAGGTCATAGGATTAATGGGTTATACACTTGAGAATGAAGATTCATTGGTTAAGAGCTAGACGAGACCTTCGAGGTCATCTAGTCTTACTCCCTTGTTTTGAAGATCAGGAAACTGGAGTCCAGGTGGGTTAAGTGACTGTCTAAGGTCAAAAAGGACATTACAGATCACCTAGGCCAATCTTTTTATTTTAAAGTTGAGGAAACTGAGGTATTCAAAGTTAAATGACTTGCCCTGGGTTACATAGCTAGTAATCAGCAGATTATATCAATACAATAGAATCATAGACCTAGAGATGGAAGACACCCAAGAATTTATCTAGTCTTATCCTTTCATTTTACATTTGAGGAAACTGAGGTCCAGGGAGTTTAAGTGTCTTCTCTGAGGTATGACATCATCTCCAAACCTTTTATTGACACTGGTCATCCTCCTCAAGATTCATACCATTTTGTCACTGACCCCATTAAATTATGATGCCCAGAAACTGAACTCCCCAGTCACACTGTGGGCTGAGCAGTAAAGAGCATGATGGGACAGTGACCGTTTTTGCTTTGGACAGGAATATAAGTGTGTGACTGATTTAAAAAAAACCCAACACCCAACTAATTAGAATGCTCTAAAAACAGGCCATGTTCCATTTTTTTTTACCCTCACATAAATGGGGTATTGTTTTGTGAGAATCTAACTACAGAGTATTTTATGAATTCTGATATCTCTTTCCAGGTCACTATTTCTAGTTCACTCCATTTTGTGATGAATTTCCTCTTGCTTTTTTTCATGGAGGAAAAATTTATCTTAAGAGCTCCGTATGTGTGTGTGTGTGTGTGTGTGTGTGTGTGTGTGTGTGTGTGTGTGTGTGTGTGTGTGTGTAAATTTGCTGTCACAGACTCAAAATATATTGTGGACTTTTCTTTTAATTTTTTTCTTGAAGTTGCTATATCTCTACAATCTGTTGAATGTAAAAATTAATTTTCAATTCACTACATTGAATACCTCTACCTTAGAATACAACAAAGGATGTAAACATAACCTTAAACTTTTAATTTGGATAGCAGTACAGTTTTTGTTTTTGTTTTTGTTTTTAGTTGTTCACTTGCTATATGAATGATTTACTTATTTGAAATCTGAGCAATGGGGATCAGAGGATCTGGGCTTGAATATCACCTCTAATATTTATTACCTGTATGACTTTGACCAAGTCAACCAACTTTGGCCTCAGTTTCTTCAGCTATAAAAATGAGATTGGATGGATTGTTGTGGTTCAGTCATGTCTAACTCTTGGGGACTCCATTTGGGATTTTCTTGGCAGAGATGCCAGAAGAGTTTACCATTTCCTTCTCCAGCTCATTTTACAGATGAGGAAACTGAGGCAATCTGAGTTAAGTGACTTGCCCAGGGTCACACAGCTAGTAAGTGTCTGAGGCCGGATTTGAACTCAGGCCTTCCTGACTCTAGGCTATCTAGCTGCCCAAGAATTTATTTAGGTGACTTCTGAAGTCCTTTCCAGTTTTATATCTCTTTTATGAATTTATTTTTATGAGTATTTATAATTAATTTATTTCTGAATTCTAATTTAGTCTCTAAATTTAGAGCAAGGCAATATTGCATAGTAGGGTTCTGGACTTAAGTCAGGAAGACATAGGTTGAAAACTTGTGTAGCTGTATGACCAGGGGCAAGAGACTCAGACAGCTCCAATTTCATAGATGCTCTCTGGGTAGACGGCATGAGCATGTGGAAATTAGGGCTGGGGTCTTCTATGTCTGTGTGGCCCTGAGAAAGTCTACTAACCTCCTTCAGCCTTAGCTGCTTTGTCAGTGAACTGTGACTATCACCTCAGACTCACCGTTCTGTTGTCAGCATCCAGTGCTTTGCAAACCTTAAGGTAGCATTTTTATTGTTATTATTAATGATGAGTGTCAGTCAGAAAGCATTAGAGAGGCGCATGGTGGCTGTGAGCAAGCCTTTAAAAGATGAAGACACCGTGGCCCAGAGAAATTAGGTGATTTACCCAATGGGATGGTTCAGGGTATCAAATGAGATAACATATGTAAAATGCTTTACAAACTTTAAAGTTCTGTCAGAGTGCTTGTCATTACATATAAAGATCTAAATGGTAAATCCTTTATAATTTAAACCCCCCCAAACCAAAATTCCACATGGACACCAATCATGAAGGCTCAGCAATGTGGCTGAATTCCCCTCCCCCTCTCTGCTCTCAGAATGGTATCTCCTTGAGGGCAGGACTTGTTTCATTTGTTTTCTTTGTAGATCCAGGGCCCAATGTGGCAGTTAATAAGCCCTTGTTTAATTGAATCGAATTTTCTTTGACCTCACATATTTCCAAGGTCTCAAAGCTGTGTCCTTATATTTGGGTTTTCTTTTGTTTTGCAGACGGAAAAAGGGAGCGCCCTCCATGAAGCAGCCTTATTTGGGAAGGTGGATGTTGTCCGGCTTCTGTTAGAAACGGGTAAGTTCTCATTGCCGTTCTTGGAGTATCCCCTGCCAGGCGATGTATCCATTTTAGAAGAGTAAGAAGGAAAATCGTGTGTGGTTTCCTTTTATTTGTACACATACACACGTATACATATATAAACAGTACATATACACATATATATATATACATACGTATACATATACTCCTACCCCTTGTTTTTACCTAATATTATAGGTGTGGCATATCATGTGAAATTCAGCCCCAACTTTTGAATGAAAAGATCATCAGAGCATGGCTCCTATCAATGATGGCTCACTAAAATATGGCAAGACAACTGAATATTTCTAAGTCACATTATGTGTTCATTATCCTGGAGGAAGGGGAATAGATTAAGGACCCCTGTGCTCTGCACTGTTGTTGAGTGAAGAATTCCACAAGAAACCTTTGAGACTATCTCCTAATTTTTCAGTGTTATAAATTCAATTATTTGCAGTTCTTTTTCCTCCTTCCCTCCCAATCAAAGCAAGACATACTATTTTGGTGGGAAGAAAAATGAAATTTCCTAAAAATCCTTTAAGGTCCATCATTTTATTGTCGGCTGTGAAAGGGGGGATTTTATGAGCCTCTTAATCATGTGGGTCAGAAGATGAGGGGGTTAAACCCCATCTGGGAGGGTGCTTTAGAAGCCAAGGAGGCTGGAACATCACAGGGTCATAGATTCAGAGTTGGAAGAGGCTTCAGAGGTCACCTCTTTGAACTCTCTCATTTTGTAGATGTGGAGACTGAGGCCCACAGGGTGAAGTGCTAACTTCAGATCTCCCAGGTAGTAAGTAGCATAGCTAGAATTTGAACCTAGATTGTGTGAGTTCAAAGCTAGTATGCTTCACAATTATTGTAGGCTAGGACTGATTCAGACTGGTCACCTGGTAGATTAGGTTTAGCATTGGAACATAGTGAGATAGCCATATATCATTCAATAATTAAAAAAAGGAGGTTTACTTAACCATAGAGAGATACTCAACAAGAATATTGTACTTAGTTGAGGTATATGGGGTCCCCTTATCTACATACTGGAATGTGCCTGGGCATACGAGGACAGAGTAAGGTTAATTCACCAAGTGTTGGAAAATGTACCATCTCTGAGGAGCTCCACCTCCACGTGGGTCAAGCTGTTATGCCCTTAGGTGAGCAGGATTCCACTTCAGTATGGCCTGAGGCCACTAGGAAGCTGTGTCAAGGGCAAGCAGGATTTAACCCTAGCCTTTCTGGAGCATTCAGAGCTTGGGGACAACTTCCTTGCCTCTTAGGGAAAGAACTATCCTAATCTACTTGGAGGCTAGCCTTTTCTGGTAGATGTCATCCTTTCAATATGCTGTACGATCCTCCCCAGATATGGTGCTGGAGCGTTCTCTCTCTCTCTCTCTCTCTCTCTCTCTCTCTCTCTCTCTCTCTCTCTCTCTCCCTCCTTCATTTCCTCCCTCCCTCCCTCTCTCTCCCTCTCCTTCCCTTTCCCTCTCTGTCTCATTGTCTTTTATCTTGAGTGGCTATGTGGTGTAGTGGAAGGAATTTACTGGGTTTAGAGTCAGATGACTTGGGCCATCAGCTCTGTAAAACTAATGCAGCTCAGTTTGGAAAAGCTTATCACCAGCTTGGCCACAAAGACATCAACTTGGGGACCATAGCCTTTCCTGAGCACCCTCTGCTAAGGCATGGAGAGGTTCATAATGTCATGGGATGCTGAATTGCAAGGGACCTTAGAGATCATCAAGCCCAGTCAGTTCACTTTACGCTTAGGGAAACTGAGGCACGGCAAGTTTCTATGACTTTCCTAAGGAAGTATTAGAGCTGGGGTTTGAACCCACTTCCCTTGACTCAAAATCCATTTCTGTTTGTACCATACTCTGTTATCCCAATCAGCATTGCTAGAGGCAGTACCTACACATTCAAAATAATAGACACTTAAAGAAATAACCTTGTTCACATCTTGGCATCTGTCTCAGAGGAATACACTCTCAATTAGAGCGAGTGTCATGTACCTAGAATGAGCAAGGAACAGTAGCTAGGTGATTAGAAAGACATGGGTTCAAATATCACCTGTGACACTTAATAGCTATGTGACTTGAAAAGTCTTTTAGACTCACTGAACCTCAGTTTCATCATCTATAACATTAGGATAATAACACTTAAAGTATCTACCTCATAGGGTTGTTGTGAAGCTCAATTAGGAAGGTACTTTTCTAGTTTTAAAGTTCCTTTTCTCTTCCTCTCCTTCCACATACTTATATGTATATACATAATGCATATATATATATACACTTATATGCACATGTATAATTAAGTATGCATAGTACATACAATGCATCCCTCAAGTCTTAATGTAATTTTTATTAAAGCTATTAAATTATTATTAAAAGCATTAAAACTATTTTATTAAGCTATTAAAGCTTAAATTTACACAATAACTTTTGGGACACTATAATTATATGATGTCAGTATTTAATATATTATGTATATATGTATATATTATAGGTATATAATTTTTACATTGTACCTAATATGTAATATGGTATTATGCATATTATAATGTCATTAGTTTTATGTATAATGTATCACATAACTCTTTGTTATATTTTATACTTTAACATATACATGCATACAATACATACACAGATCTGTCTATCTTAGATGCATGTCAGTAGTTATTATTTTCAGACTGGCAACCAAAAAGACCAGGAGAAACAGACTGATCAGAAGGAAAAGAAGTGTTTGTAAAGATTAAAGCCTGTTTTAGAAATCTTTCATATTACAACTTTGATTTTTAATCTCTTCTGTAAATCTGGATTAAAAAGGAGAATAGGAATGTTTGAGTGAGTGTGTATATAGAGGGTAAAGGAAGGTTTCCTTTCTCTCTGTGCTAAGGAAGGTGTATTGTTTAACCCCTCTGAGACCAAAAAGGAGGGACTAAGCCCTGTGATGTGTGAAAGCTGATGAGATTATGATAGAACAGTCTGTTTTGAACTGTGGAAATCAAAGAGATTCGGTTTCCTTGAGCTTAAGAGCCCATTACTTCATTAAGCGCGTTAACTATAGTGTGTGGTCTCTGGTGACTGAGAAGGAAGCCTTTTAGAGTAATTAGAACAGTCCTCAGAAGGGATGGAGGAAACTATCTGGTTGGTCCCCACATCTGTGCACTGATTAAAAAGAAATGAAGCTAACTAACTGAGGTCAAACGTTTTTATGAAGTTTATTAAAGTTCCAGTTAGTCTTAGAGAGTGGCCTAGAGCACTGAAAGAAAGGTAAGTATCTTGTCCAAGGTGAAACAGCCAGGATGTGTTAAAGTTTGGATTTGAACCCAAATCTTCATAGCTCAGAGGCCAGCTCTGTATCCACCATGTCACATGGCCTCTCATTGTCTCTTTGGGGCATGGGATAAATTTATGTTGCTGTTTTTTGGTTAATGGAGTTACTGGCCATGTTGAGTGTGTAATAGGGTTGCAGGATCATAGATCTAGAACAGAAAGCCCCTTCATTTTGCAGATGGAGAAACTGAGGCCCAGAGTGGTTAAGTTTTTCTCCAAAGTCACAGAGCTAGTATCATAGAGTCATAGATTTAGAGCTGCCAGGGACCTTTTAGGTCATAAACTGAACACTCTATCTTTGTTATCTACAACAAAGATAAAAATAAAATTGCTCAGAATCCTACAACAAAGCGACCAAAGTGAAATTTGAACCCACATTCTCTGACTCCAAAATCAGGGCTATTTTGGCTGAGCCATTGTATTGGATTGTATTTAGTGACTCTTTCTCTTCCCAAAGGAACAGAGCGTTCTTTTGCCCTCCTTATACACATCCACCTGCACCTGCCCATTCTCCTTTTTTATCCAGATTTACAGAAGAGATTAAAAATCAAAGTTATAATTTGAGAGGTCTTTAAAGCAGGCTTTGTCTTTGCAAGTAAAGATGGCAGGAAAGGACACCACAACAAGCAGTGGCTGCAGATGGAAGATTTAAAATCCTGCGCAAATAAATATGCCCTCCTAGTTCACTGTCATGTCAAACTGCTGTCTCTTTTATTGAGATGAGCTGATAACAACGGAGAGGAAGTGGCTAGAGGTGCAGCCTCAGGAGTCACACAGACTGAGAGTCAAGTCCTCTTCTGACACATACTTTGTGACTGTAGACAAATTTCTTAACATCTCAATGCCCTAAGTAACTTTCTAAGTTGCAGAGAAAGTGATGCTACAAGTCGGTAGATGGAGTTTTCTTACAAGACATTCTTCCCACCATGGAAATCACAGATCTGGACCAAATATTCCTACATACTGAGAAGTACCATGGTGTAGTACCTAGATGCCCAGCTTCACAGTCAAAGCCCTTCCCCTATCGCGTATGGGCAGTCTGGCCATGGACAGGCCAAGCCCACAAACATTTACTAAGCACTTAGTATATGTAGGGGCAGCTAGGTGGTGCAGTGGGCAGAGTCAGGAAGACTCATCTTCCTGAGTTCAGATCTGGCCTCAGATACTTACTAGCCATGTGACCCTGGGCAAGTCACTTGACTCTGTTTGCCTCTGTTTCCTCATCTGTAAAATGAGCTGGAGAATAAAATGGCGAACCCCTCTAATATCTTTGCCAAGAAAACCCCAAATGGCGACACAGAGAGTTGGATACAACTGAAATGACTCAACAAGAGACACACTTGGCTTGTTCTGACATTGTCAAGGATCAAAGATGCAGAATGAGACAGGACCTTAGAAGCCATCTGATCCAACCCCCTTATTTTACAGATGAAGAAACTGAGGCCTGGAGAGGTGAGGTGACTTTCCCAATCAACCAATCAGTCAACAAATATTTGTTAAGGGCCTGCTGGGTGTTGGGTTATCTAGTTGGTATAGGGGTAGATACAAAGGCAGAAGTGAAACAGTCTTTTTAAAAGAAATTTTTTTTTTTTGTTTAGGCAATAGGGTTAAGTGACTTGCCCAGGGTCACACAGCTAGTGAGTGTCATGTGTCTGAGGCCAGATTTGAATTCAGGTCCTCCTGACTCTATCCACTGTGCCACCTAGCTGCCCCTACAGTCTTTTTTTTTTTTAATCAAAGAGCTTGAGGTCTTGCAGGTAAGCAAGAAGCAGGGCTGAGGTTCAAACCCTGGTCCTCTCACTCCAAAGATGGAATTCTTTCTCCTGTACCACACTGCCTTTTCATTAGCATTCTGTGATTTACAAAAAAATTAGGAATTAATGTGATTTAGGAATTAAAATTCTAAAGCATTAATGTTTTCTGCATCTTTTAATAAACTAATATTATTTAGAAGATCGCAGAGGGTTCTAAAAATCTCCTTAAGAAAGAAAATTTCATTAAAGTTTTGTAATAGTTAATGTAAGATCTAAATGGGAGGAAACATAGCATAGTGGAGGGAGACCTAGGTTTAAATCCTGACTTCTTAGTACTATGTGACTCTGAGCAAGTCACTTAACCTCTGACCCTCAGTCTTCTCATCTGTAAAATGAGGGAATTGGATTAGGTGGCCTCCAAGGTACCTTCTTGCTCTAAATCTGTGATCCTATGAATAGACACACACCCTCTTTCTTGTATTAATATTTTATGTTGAAGTTTGTGTGTCCCAGATTCTCTAGAACTAGGATCTGCTCGGGGTGTATTTCTGATTAGAGACATTTTGAGTCCACTGATGCACACTCTGCTGCTGTTCTCTTTCAGGGATTGATGCCAACATAAAGGACAGCTTAGGCAGGACAGTCTTAGATGTGCTGAAAGAGCACCCATCGCAGAAGTCTCTCCAAATTGCTGCTCTGTTACAAGGTAAAGTATGTTGGGTGGTGGGTGACTCTTTTGAGCAGAACTGGAACCAGCATTTCTGGAACCTAGGGCGAGTGGCATGGAAAGCTCTCAGAGGGAAGAAGGTGAATGGTACTCTGAAATCAACTTTTTAAAGAGACACATGCTATTGAGCTTTATGAATGGGAAAGACCTTGGATTTTAGGGTATAGGGTTCCATAAGAGAGAGAGACGTTAAGAGTCCGCAGAAGTCATTACTGAGGAGGCTGGTGCTGGCGAAGGGAACAGGACTGGATCAGCTTGAGCTGTGGACACAGGAAGGAGGAGAAAGGTGCACCATTTAGTCCCTGCCAACCTGAACTAATGCTTCTTGCTAGCTAGTTGGTAAACTTAGTTGTTTCTAGAAGCTGGAGGGACGCAAGAGTTACCAGAACTCTGTAACATTTGGTACTTTGGCAACTATTACGGGAAACAAAAGTTAATGCCTTTTTTTTTGGCATTGTAGGCACAAACCTTATTGGAAACAATTTGTATTAGTTTAACATTATTTTAAATCTAGGCAATTTTCTGTTTAGGTTAGGGTTTCTCTGAGTTTGTTTTCTATATCTATATGTATGTATGTATATATACCCACATGTAATATACATATAACATATGCACACACATGAATATGTAATTATTTACCCACATGTAATATACACATATCTACATACATGTATGTAATATACATATCTCTATATGTATGTATATACACCCACATGTAATATACATATAACATATGCACACACGTGAATATGTAATTATTTACACATACTATATATTATTTATGTAACATTTATACATAACTGTTTACACACGTATCATATGCAGATACATATACATATATTTATATATAACTGTATTTAAACACATATATATTATGTACTCACATTTGTACATAATTGTATTTATACACATATACTATATTTATGTTTTCATGTACATTTATACATAACTGTATTTACACACACATATATTTATATACATACATACATTTATATCTAACTGTATTTACACACATATACGTATAGTATGTATGTACACATGCATTTATACATAACTGTATTTTAATATAATAGATTTTCCTTTGTAATCCCTTATATTTTGTTTTACTCATTTAAAAATATGAATCTAAGAGGGGAAGCCAAAGAGATTTATAACAGAAAAAAAGGCTAAGTCCCCTTGGTTTAGAGTTCAGAATGTCCAAACTGGCAAAATCCCTGCACAAGCTTGGATATGTCTCTTTCTCAAGACATTTTGAAATACATTTTTAGAGACCTTGAATAAGGAAAATTTACAATATGACAAAATATAGTTATACAAGGTAGGATTATATGAAAGTTAATTTTTTTTTTTATCAATCCAGAATAATAATTACTTAACTTTCAGGCATGTCTTTAGGAGAATTACTCTCCTAAAAGCACTCAATGTCTCTTTGACCATCCTATTCAAGGGTCCTCTCTCCTCTTCCCCAAGCTGGTTGCTAGGTGACTTAGAGTAATAGACAGACCTCCCTTCAGGGGAAGAGGAAAAGAGAGAAGTGCCCTTGGGTGGGTCATTGCTCTCACCTCTTCGGGGAATAGAGGAAGGCAGTGTTCCTATCTAGACTTGGGTGTTTCATGTTCTCTTTGGTTGACTACCTATTTTCTTCAGCCTTATATTTCCTCCCAGACCCTTTTTAAGATACTTTTCCAAGATAAAGAGGGAAGAAAATTTTAATGGAGAGTGCTGTTTCTGGAGCAGTTTGATAAGTGTAGTAAACAGTTGTCTTCTTTCTCTTAAGGCTGGAAAGAATTTTAAACTGGAGTGATATTTATTTCCTGTTATTTTCAGTAAAACTAAAGAAAGGTTTTCATACGCGTCCACATTAAGCTGCCCTAGTTACATCTCTGCTAGACATGCTGACCTATAATCCCTTGGAACATGAGCTTAATTAAAAATGGGGGCATGGTCTACTTTTGGGTCTTGAATTGTCCTTCACATTTTTTAGGGCAGGGTCTTTTCTCATGGATATGTACATACATTATATGTATGCATATACATACACACACACACATACACACACACACACATATATGTATCTCCTTATATTAAAGTAGCTGGAAAGGCAGCAAAGCCTAGTTGATCTGTCTTTAAATATGGCTTCTGATATACTGATGGGCTGTGTGACCTCGGGCAAGTCACAACATTTTAGTGCCTCATTTAACTCTCTAAGACTATAAATTGCAGAGCAGGTACTTAGGAGAGTTCCTCATTGAGGCTTCCTATATACTGATTAAAATTACAGGTCCAATGGAAAAAAAATCAGTTACACATTTGTTCAGGTTTCACACTTATTCATGAATTACTTGAAAGCAGAGGTGTTTAATCTTCTTTTTTTGTGTTATAGTCCCCTTCAGAAGTCTGCAAAACCTATGGGCTCCTTCTTAGAATGATGTTCTGAAATCCATAAAATAAAACACATGGTATTAACCAAGGAAACCCCTTATCTTGAAATTATAATTGAAAAATTATTGAAATATTAAAATTTATTTATTGAAATAATTTTAACCCCCCCCCAAGTTTATGGGCCCCAGGTTAGGGACTCCTACTCTAAAGCAAGCAAAATTGTCCTCTCAGTTCTATGATGGCAAAGCAGTTCTTGAGAACAGACACTTAGGGCTGCAAGAGTCAATATTTGGGTATAGCTTTAAGCCTTGGGAGACAGGACAGGAACATTGCCTTGACTGAACTGTGCTCTCAGGGAGAGCATGTTTTCTGCTCCCTATGTTTAAGTGAAATAGATTATGTCAACTCATGCTGTGGAACACTAGGCAGATCTCTGAGCCTGGAGGACCTGGCTTTACATTCTGTCTGTGGGGATCAATGCTTACATGACTGGATATGTCACTTGGACACTCTGGGCCTCAGTTTCCTGACCTGTCAAGTAAAGGCTTTGGTCTCGATGGCCTCTGATGAACATTTCTCATGTTGCTATACATGATATATGGGCGTGTTGTACTATAGCCCAGATGGAAACCAACAGTGGGGACTTCTTACAGTGGAAACCTTGCTGGGCCTCAGTTAGCTTAGCTTAAAGTCTCTGGGCTCTTTGGTTTCTTCCAGCTCTAGAAAACATTTCCCAGGTCTCATTGTCACTCACGGTGTGGGCTCATGAGGTATAACCCAGACAGAAAGCAGTGTTTGGGATTCTTTATATTGGCAACATTGCTGGGTCTATAAAATGTTGGAGGTGGAGTATTGGGCCTCTGAGGTCTTTCAGCTGTAGTTCTAAAGTACTTATGACCCGGGCTTCATTTTCCTTATATGGAAAATGATGGGGTTGAATTAGATAGTCTCTGAGGTCCCTTCCAGGTCTGTATCAACAATCCTTATGACCTCCTTGGGTCTTTGTTTCCTGATATGGAAGATGAAGGGGTTGGATCAAATGGCTTCTGGGGTTCCTTGCAGATCTAGATCTGAGACCTGATGAACTTCACTTGTTCAGTCGTTTTTTAGTCATATTCGACTCTTCACGACCCCATTTGGGATTTTCTTGGCAAAGATTCTAGAGCGGTTTGCCGTTTCCTTCTCCAGCTCATGTAATAGATGAGGAACCTGAAAACAGGGTTAAGTGACTTGCCCAGGGGCACACAGCTACTAGTAAGTATCTGAGGCTAGATTGGTACTCAGGGAAATGAGTCTTCCTGACTCTAGCCCCAGCACTCTATCTAGCTGCCCCTCTGCCACCTAGCTGAACTTCACAGCTGTAAGTAATGCTTTGAGAATGTTTTTTGATGAGTTCAGTCAATCAGCAAACATTGTTTAAAGCTCGTACCAAAGTCCCAACACTGAGCCGGGATCTGGGGTCACAAACACTAAGAATGGACCAATAATCCTTGCTCTCAGGAAGCTTACATTCTAATGAGGCACTTTACTTATGTTACACCATAGCATGGCAGTCATGAGACCTTGCACTACCTCTTCTTACTGCTCAGTCACTGGCCGTATTCTCTGGCCTCCTGTTAGAGTTGAAACTCTGAGCCTAATTGGGATTCAGAGCTTTTTTCCCCCCTTTTTGAGTTTTCATGATTAAGCTGGCAGGATGGCTCCACCTCTTTAAATCCATCAGCAATTTGTGCTTTGGTTCCCTTGTTATCCCCTCCAGTTACCTGCACCTGTCACCTGCAGTGGCCGCTGAGGAAGGAGGCAGGCCAGACTGGGCGAGGCAGCACCAGGGGAACAAGGCAGGGCCTTGCACCGCTCTGGAGAGTGAGTGCATTAGAACTTAGCGGAGACCGTGACAGTACAGGAAGCAAAGAAGGCAAACGTCTAAGAGGAATGGCTAGATGGGTCATGGAAGGTCATTGCCAACCTCACTATTCTCAGGGGGGAGAAAAAAGAAAGAAATCATTTTGCCATGTGTGTTTCTCCCCCTGAGCTGGAGTCAGGTTATATCTGCCACAGTTTTCCCATCGTGTTGAGGTTAATTGCAAGTCAAGTGCATAGAGGGATGAATGAGAGGACCAGGAGGAACTTTGCTGCTCAGGAAAAGGAAAAAACAAGGAAAGGAAGCAGATAGAAAAAACCAGCAAATCAGAGCACAAGCAGCCACCTTCAGTTTAGTGTTCTACTTCCCAAGTAGTATCTTGTCATAAGATCTGAAGAGTAAGAGCTGGAAGACACCTTTGAAGCCAACTAGGACAACCCCCTGGTTCTGCAGATGAAGAAACTGAGGCCAAGAAGGACCCAGGAGTCATCAATTTAGATCTGGAAGTGAGGGCCATAGAGTCCTCATTGGGGCTTGAGTCGAGCTAATATTGTTTTCTAATAATTTGGGGCAATCATAGAAATTATGGTTGAAGGGGAGATCTTATCAAATAAATTTCATATCCAACACTAATGGGCATGTTTCATTGATGCTGCTAATGACCACAAGGGTTTGGGAAGGCTTTAAGTATCTCTTCTGCCTCCCTGGCTGGGCTTTAGATGGGAAAATGCTGAAGGAAGTCTATGACTTCCAGGCAGTTAAGTCCTTTTTTTCCTTTCTGCTTGAAAGGTTTAGGATGCCAGAAACAAAGACACACACAAAAACTTTTCATATGCTAAAAAGGAAAAATATTCCTGTTACATTTTGGGGGAAAGATAGTTTATTAAGTTATTAATAATTATAATTGACCTTTGTAAGTGGAGACAGTGTAGTATAATAGGTAGAGAGTTGGCCTTGAGGTCAGGAAGACCATGGTTCAAGTCCTCTCTGTGACACATAGTGGCTGTGTGACCCTAGTATATAATTGAACCTCCCAGGAAAGTGGGGAAACAGGTACTGATCTGCTTTGCTTGGTAATATAGAGGGAATTTTCTCCTTAGGCACATTTCTTATGCTAATGAAATCATAGTATAATACTTTCTACCCCTCTCCCCCTCTCCAAAAAGAAAACAAAAAATATCATTGGCATTTCTATATCATTATTTAAAACACTTCTACTTTTTTTTTTCATTTAAGCTCAACAACCTTGTGAGTTAGGTTTTAGAGGCATGCTTAGGCCCATTTTGTGGATAAGGAAATGGACTAGAAACTAGGGTCTAGTGGTAGTTTTATAGCCATTCTGTGGATGAGGAAACTGAGATTCAGTAAATGCCTGCCTTTGCCCAGGGGAAAATTTCTAGGAACTCAACCTGTGAGTCCTCAGTCCAGTTTCCTTCTCAGTAGGGTCTAAATGCCATAAGGTCACACTGGGGGGTGTTAGGAGGGTGGGGCATAAGGCCATAAAGATTCCTCTTTGGGCATTAAAAGGACTTTTCTTATGAAGAGTTAAATGGGTCCAGTAAAGAAGAAAGTGGTCTAAGGCTATGAAAAGGAAATTATTCATTTTAATCCTTTGGTAAGATTAATAATATAGCGAATGTTCACATAGGACTTGAAGGTGTACAAAGTATGCTATATACATTAGCCCATTTGTTCCTCACAATAGGTAGGTGCTACGGTTATCCCCATGTCAAAGATGGAGAAACTGAGCCTAAAGTGATAGAGTGACTTGAACTTGGGTCTTTCTGACTTGAAGTCTGTCACTCCATCCACTGCCTCATCCTATTGCTTCTCCTTACGGTGGTCTCCAGTCACTCTGTTCATCCATGTTCTCCCAGACCATCTGTCCTGCTCTGCCTCCTTCTTCCCTAAATCCACCCGTCCTCCAAACATACATGTTTCTCTTGAAGGACACAGCCATTGTCCTAGGGGCTCCAGTATGCTGCCTCAGAGTCATCTTTGCTTTTTCTCTTTTCCTTCCTAATTTCCAAGTTGGTGCAAAGTCTTATGAGTTCTTCATCCACAAAACCTCTTATATCCATTTTTCTTTCCACTCAGCAGCTGCTGCCCTGGTTCAGACCCTCATCCCCTTTTGCTTGAACTGGGGCAAAAGCCTCCAGCGTGGACATCCAGATCCCAGTCCGGTCACCTCTGCTCCCTCTCCTCTGCTGCCATAGTAATCTTCCTAAAGCACAGGCTTGGCCACACTATTCTCCTCCTCAGTGCCCTTCTATAGATCTATGGGAAAGCTACCCTTTAGTGATAAGTACTTTCTCTGGTCTCCTGTTATGGTCAAAAGATTGATAGATTTGGAATTAGGGAACCTGGGTTCAATTTTGGCCACTGAAACATAGTGGACTTTGGTGGCCCAGTACTGGACTGTGGATGAATCCCTCCGCCTGTCTTGATCTTGTTTGGGATCAAGATGAGAGTGTTGGGCTACGTATCCTTCAAGGTTACTTGCTTACTGTATGTAAACGTATGGTTTGGTAAATCCCTTCTCCTTCTGTCATTAAGTAGGGGTTTGTCTGTGGGCGCTGGAGCCTCTTGGTAAGATGTAAGTGTTTTGAGGGCAGGCAGTATTTTTTATTTTATCTTACTATAGCCATTGCCTGAAAGTCCCTTGTATGCAGTAGGAGCTTAATTTTTATTGTAAGGGATAGATTGGACTGGGTCTTGATCTACTTTAGTGGGGGTGGTTCCCATCTCTTGAGTTGCCTAGACTGAGGAAATTCCTGATGCTTTGTGTGCTCACAGTCATATACACACACACACACAAACACATATATGCTCACACACATACAAACACACAATTCATTTCCACACACACACATACACACACACTCATATTCATACTGATACACATACACACACATACACATATGAACATGTACGTATATACACATATGCTCCCACACATATACACATACACACAATCACACTCACACACACATACAAACACATACATACACGTATACACTTCCATGCACACGCACACTCACAAACAAATACACAGATATATGTATGTGATGGATTTCAGGAAAATAATTAGAAAACTATAGCAGGAAGGCTAAAGTTTATTGGCGATCAAACAAAATGAGTTCGGAAATAGAAAATAGTAACTTTTACAATGCAATGTGTATACACAGAATATTTGGAAGGTGGAGACAAAGCTTCGGTCCTGGAGGAGAACGAGTTGGAATGTACCACACACCAGACGTGCATTTCGTCGCCTGTTAATTCACCGTCCCAAAAGACCAAAAGTGAGTGGCCTACTTTGAAGTCTTTACCAACTCTTTCAGTTCTAGGGAACAGAGTGGGTGAGATAGATTTTTGTGAAATAATCTGAGGGGAATGAATGGGATCCCACACTCTGTAGTTCACAATCACACCTTTTTGGAATGGAGCTCGGAGTAAAAATGCTCGTTTTTAAGCAAGGGCTGAGCCTGATTCAGGTCTTCTGTTCTGAAACTTCAAATTTGTAGCAGGTAAAAGGCAGAGACGGATTTTTAAAAGAAATTGGTTTGGACTATTTGAGAGTTTGATAGGCTTGATAAGGCTATTAGATGCACTGCCAGACATGATGAATGTATTGGTTGATTATGCTGCCTTTTGAAATCTACTCATAAGAAATAGCTTGTTGGGAATAAGAAGGGAGTTAGTTGTATTTGGAACAGAAGATGATAGAAAACAAAACATAACAACCAAATTTGAGGCGCTAATTTAATGCCTACCACTTCCATTTTTTCAAAAAAATCTGAGTTCATGAAAATTGAACATAGGTTTTCTCTGTGCATATGTATAGGTAGAAATACTCTTAGAATTTTTTTTGAACTTAAAATAGGAATGTAACAATCATCAGCAATATTTACATTTCAATATAAAAAGGAGGGACAGCTAGGTGGCACAGTGAATAGAGTATTGGGCATGGACTCAGGAAGAGTTCCTGAGTTCAAATCTGACCTCAGACACTTACTACCTGTGTGACTTTGGTCAAGTCTCTTAATCCTGTTTGCCTCAGTTTCCTCATCTGTAAAATGAGCTGGAGAAGGAAATGGCAAACCACTCCAGTATCTCTGACAAGAAAACTCCAAATTGAGTAATGAAGAGTCAGATGCACTTGAAAAACACCTGAACAACAATAAAAAGGACAAAAAGATGATTATATTTGAAACCATAAACTTACTAAATACATTTTTAAAGAGAATATTAAATTTAACATGGTGGTAAGAAAATTGACCTGTTTTTGTCCTCTTCTGAATTATTTTGGTTCCCTGCTATATTTTTTATAATTGGTGCTCTTTTACTTATGTTTTGGAAGGGCACCTCTCAGTACTCACTGACCTACCTCTACCCTCCTCTCTACTGAAGACTTTTCTTGCAGGGTATGCAAATAAGTTGTTATTATTCAGTTGTTTTCAGTCATGTCTGACTCTTTGTGACCCCATTTGAGGCTTTCTTGGCAGAGATACTGGACTGGTTTGCCATTTCCTTCTCCAGCTCATTTTATAGATAAGGAAACTGAGGCTAACAGGGTTAAGAGACTTGCCCAGGGTCACACAGCTAGTAAGTATCTGAGGCCAGATTTGAACTCAGGAAGAAGAGTCTTCCTGGTGCTAGGTGCAGCACTCTGTCTACTGCAGCACTACCTAGTTGCCTGTATAACAATAAGAATAACCAAGCAAAACAATTCAATCCATTGGCCATGTCTGAAAATGCCCCTGTCATAGAAATACTCCCAGTGGGTATATATAACTACCAGATTTTGTATACCATGATTGAGCTCCTTCCTGTTGTCCATAAAACTTGCATATTTTTATAATTTAACAACAGAAATAACCTGGATGTCTATAAAATTCTAATCATTTGGGTTCAAGGTGAAGCAGTTACTGGAGAATTGTCAAAGCTCTTGGATGAAATCAAACTCTGTCAAGAGAAGGATTACTCTTTCGAAGATTTGTGTCATACGATCTCAGACCATTACTTAGATAATCTGAGCAAGATTTCAGAGGAACAGCTTGGGAAGAATGGGAGCCAGGCGGTGGTAAGTCCATTGGCAAATGGTTATTCCTCCATTGTTTAAAGGTCTACATTTATATTTAAGGGACAGGTGAACCAACCCTTGAGAACTCACAGGTTCACACACAATTACATTTCACATCAGTTCTGTAATACATATTGTTTTATATCTCAAGGCACTGATGTCAATATTATCCACTTTTGGGAACTGCTGTACTGTCAGTCAACAAACATACTGTTTTCCAGGCACTGTGCTAAGTGCTGGGAATACAAAGAGAGGTGAAAACAGTGCCTGCCCCCAAGGAGATTACATTCTAAGGTGGGGATATGTAAACAACTATCTACGTACAAAACATACAGACTAGATAGAAGGCAATCTAAGAGGAAGGAAGGCACTACCAGTTGGGGATGCTAGGAACAGGCTCCTGCAAAAAGTCCTATTTGAGCCAAGTCTTGATGAAATCTAGGGAAAACCAGAGTTGGAAGGGAAGAGGGAGAACTTTCCAGGCATGGAGGATAACTGTGAGAGAGCTGAAGAGATGGGAGATAGTGTGTTGTATAAACCAATATAGCTTCATCATAGAGTTAAGGAGACTGGAAAGACAAGACAAGGGTAGAAAGCTTGTGAAGGATTTTTAAATGCTGAGCAGAGGAGGTTAAATTTGGTCCTGGAGGTAACAGGGAGTCACGGGAATTTATTGAGTAAGGAGGTAGGGTGACATGTTCAAACTTAGGCTTTAGAAAAGTTACTTTGGCAGCTGAGTTAAGAAAATATTGTGAGCAGAGGGAGACTTGGGGTAGAGAGCCCAATTAGAAGGCCATTGCAATAGTCCATTCAAGAGGTGATGAGTGTCTGAATTATGGTTATGACTGTTTTAGTGGAGAGAGGAGGACTTAAATGAGAGATTGTTCCATAGGTCATTTGATATCTAAGCCTGGACTCACTTCTTTCACTCCCTTGACTCTGTATATTAATGTCATTGAAACTCATATAAAAATATAGTTCACAAGGCTGTGTCAGCCTCAGAAGCCACCTCCTTCAGTACTGTTAAAGAACTGTGATTTTATTAGCATGCCTGTCCCCTCTACCAGCAGCAATCATGGTCCCTCTGTACCTTGGTGCATGGCCTTTGAGAGTTGGATGAGGCCAAAAACATCATCTCCCTATTACCAACATGAACTTGAAAAACTTGTCTTTTACTTGGCTTTCTTGTTATCAGGAATGTTGATGAACTGGAGAGTGGGCAGAGTGGGACAGTGAGGATGATGAAGGACCTGGAGTCCATGTTATCTGAGAGCCAGTTAAAGGAACTGGGGGGTATCCAGGCAAGAGAAGAGAAGGCCGAGGGGAGAAGGGAAATGATGGATGTCTTCAAGTATTTGAAAGGCTGTCACCTGGATGAAGAATTAGACTTTTCTTTGGCCCCAGAACAGAGATTCTTAACCTAGTATCCACGAACTTTTAAAAAGTACTTTGAGAGGTGTATTTCAGCATAACTGTGTTTTCCTTTGTAAGTCTATGTATTTTATTTTACAAATTTGAAAACATTATTCTGAGAAGGTGTCCACAGATCTCATCAGACTCCCAAAGGTGGCCCATGGCACACACAAAAATTAAGAACCTTTGCCATAGAGAGGTAGAATTTGTGAAGTGGAAAATCTAGTTTTGATATAAAGAAATACTTCCTGTCAGAGCTCTCCAAAAGTGGAAATGACTTCCCCCATCACTAGTGGTCTTTTAGCAGGACCTCGATGACCCTTTGTTGGGTATGTCATACTGGAGAGACAGAGGTTGGATTTAGATGGCTTCTAGGGGTCTACTCTTTCCACTCAGAAATTCTGATTTTTGAATCTGTAAAATGAGGGGTTTGGATGACATGATCTCAAGCATCCCTACTGCCTCTGACCTGTGATTCTATGGCATAGTTCAGAGTTATTGACTTTCTCCTGGCACTGCCACTTGCTGCCTTAGGAAAAACTCTTCCCAATTTCTGCTACTGTAAGAGTGATGGAGTTGGATTACACCATCTCTGAGGTGCCTTCCAGCTTGAGCCTTAATCTAAGAATCATAGAGCTAGAGTTCTATAAAATGGGGATGATAATAGTATCTACTTCCCAGGCTTGTTGTGAGGATAAAGTGAATAGAGTGAATATTTCTTATGTTACTTAAGGTTGACTAACAACTGTGGATGTGGAAGGTCTCACCTTTGATGTCAGGTACTACAGAGTTGTCTAGGCCTAAATGGACACTTCATCCATGAAGCTATTATTGAGCAAAGATGGAGAGACCTGGTAGGCTGGCCCAGATGGACACTTTATTTAGGCAGGTATTAGTGGAGAGACCTTCTTGGCTAGTGAAAGCAAAAAGCAAGGGACAATAAACACTTAACCAGATGTATGCCAGTTATTTGTCATGTGTCAAGACAATGACCTTGGGTTGTTCTCTCAAGTAAGGAATTTGAGGCCTACAGAGGTGCTCATAGTTTCTTCTTCTGGGATTCTACAAGTGAAATGCAAATATCCTATGGTGGGGTAGAATAACCTTGCCATGAAAAGCATTTTATTTAGGGGATAAAGACTTTACTTATTAATGTTATGCATAGATATAGGAGTGTGTGTCTGTATTCCATAGCCAGCCATATTCATTTGCATTCCTCAGAGTGAGGAAAGATAATACTTGTATTTACAAAATTCTAAGAAGCAAAACCATACCCTTGTATAAATAATAAAAGAGACCAGAGATCAGACTTTATGGAAAGCATTGCAGAAGATAATATTTTGTTGGTCTTGCCACAGTAACTTTAATCTGTGCCCTGTTGATGGAGGATCAGAAATATATTCGCATATGAGGGACAATTTGTTATTATGATGTTTTCAAAGACGATATAGAGACAGCATGGAGGAGTGGATAGAGTGTTGGACTTGGAGTTAGGAAGACCTGGGTTCAAATCCCAGTTCGGAAGCTTGCTCGCTGTGGGACCCTGGGTGAGTTGCTTAACTCTGTGTGCCTCAGGTAAACTCCCTACGACTTGCCTTTGGAGAGACAAGGCAGTGTTTTCAGTCAGTCAGTAAACATTTATTAAGTGTGAGTAGTCAATGGAACATTGGACTTGGAATTAGGAATCTGAATCCCACCTCAGACACTTATTAGCTGAGGGAGCCAGGCCCTCAGTTTTCTCATCTGTAAAAATGAGGGTTTGGACTTGACAACCTCTCTTGATGGCCTTCTCTCCAAGCTCTAAATCTATGATCTTATGATCTCCTAGTTCCCAGACATTTGTATTGGAGGAAGGAGATCGCTAGCTGCCAGTACCTTCTCCTCTGAAGTTATCTTCCATCTACTATGTACATGTTTTGTGTGGATGTAGTTATTTATAGGTTATCTCACCCATTAGATTGTGAGCCCCATGAGTAAGGGACTATTTTTTGGCTTTATTTGTTGCCTCAGCATTTAGATCAGTGTCTGACATTCAGCAGGTGCTTAATAAATGCGTATTGACTTACTAACATTTACTCTGTGTTTTCTGGATCAAAGAAAGTAAGCTGTCAAGTTACTCTGTCACTTTTCAGCATCTTACTATGTCTTGAAAAGCCCAAAATGAAGCCAGGTCCCTCATAGAGAAGTTTCCCATAGCTTTTCATAACTGTAAAAAAACCCAAAACATGGCAAGAGATGGCAATTTAAGTTAATGAGTCTCTGTTCAGAGAAAGGTTAATTAAAGTGGATTATGGCATTTGGAAGAATAGTACAGGCCACCTCCTGGCTACTCCTAACACCTTCCTTGACAGTGTTTATCTTCTACACTTTCTTTTTAAGGTAGACTGTCTTCTAAGGCCCAGTAGATAATTCGACTCTGTAAAAATCTCTTTTCCCTCCCCCTTCCCCCTGTATATGTGTATGTATAGGTATACGTACACACATATATATTGCTTGTACTTGCTAAAGTAGAGTTTATTCATATGGTCTCTGTGCCTTGTGGCAGTTTTTATGGAAAGGAATGATTTTATGAATTTTTATAGCATCAACTTGGATTTCAAGAGCAAGTCTTGTATCTTGCCTTCTGGTGTCATTCCTGTTTATTGCTTAAAGCAGGCCCCTGAAGTCCACAACCGAAGACAGCATTGTGTTCCAGCACTTTGCTTGTTAAATGGTCACTCTGGGATCCTGGAACTCTTTTTCATAGAAACTGTAATAAATAGTGGCCAAGTTCTGGGCTAGCCCACTGGAATGAATTTAACCTACCATGCAGCAGAATTATTGTTGTTAATGGCATTCAGTCCCATTCCGTAGAGAACAAATTTCTCTTAGTTGTGGACCCCTTTCTGTCTCACTCCTTGCCTCTATTAGTCTTCACAGAGAACTGGGTTTCCCTACATGAAAGTACTGGCTATCGTTCACTCGCATCTCCAGAACACTGGTCTTGGAGGGAAACGTCAAATGTTGCTTCCTTCCTACTGCCATTTAAAAGACTCTCTTTACCTCCATTAATCAGAAACCTCTCATGCTTTGAAATCTATTTGGTTAAAAATTTCTGCCCAACCTAGATTGTTGTGGCCAGTGTAGGCCAGTTTCTGGGCCGTTCTTGCTTGTCACCAAAGGAGATCTCACTGGCTTCCTCTCCTCTCCAATTCCTTCAGCTTCAGTTCCTTGACACTGTTTCAAATTCCCTAATCCATCACTTCCAGTCTCCTTAAATTCCATGACCTATCCATTCACTTCACTTCACTCAGGCACAGGGATGGTCATACCATAGATCTCACCATTACGCACATGGATTCCACTTTCTCAGTTGAAAAAGCAAATAAAGATAACTTGTATGTCATAGACCATAGCTTCTGCTCCTTCTGTCTCTTCCTATGCCTCATCCCTCCTAAACAGATTCCTTGCCATCATCATGACCACAAGTCCCTCTACTGCTCAGTCATTTCTCAGGGTGTTATTTGACTTCCCTTTCCTCCTCTTCCATTTTTAATCCTGTAGTCAATGAGTTCACTTCCACATGTTCCTTTGCTTTGGAACTCCTC